CGAGTGTCAGAAGAGCTGGTGATATGAACTTCGCTATTCTGCCATGTGATTAAATCGGTTTTCTTAATGGACGGCTGATTATTATACATATGATTCTTTCTTTTATCCTCTCTTGTGCTGGAATCATTCAAGCTGGATGAAAGAGGCTTGCAATTATTGGGCGTTTTGCGTTTAGAGGCGCTCGAAGAAGAACAAGTGTTTTTTGAATTGGCTGATGTGTCGTATTGAATTTTAGTCTACGGATATTAGATTTATAGATTAAGCATATTATTGGGTTCTCCGCAAAACGTGTGCACACTTACAACTATATTGTGATCCTTATGATCCAACAACGGTTCAATAGTTTGACTTTTCGATGTATTATTCTCATTCACGATCGCACTGAGGACTTTTTTCTTAAGAAAACGGTTGGCTGTCAGACCGTCATAATCGGCTCTTTCAAAATTTAAAACGTTGTCGTTGTTCTCTAACTCTGAAGGTTGTTCAGCTTGCACAACTTGCACATCATTGCAATAGTTATTTGCCTCGAATATGATTGAAATCTGTAAAATACAAGAAATGAAAAAAACAACATTTAACCAGGTGTATATAGCGAAAGGAAATTCAGATATTTAAATTAAAATATCGATATAACCGAAAACAAGGTGTCAAACTTCTAAAAACTTACCTTGAAATCCTCCGAAACTGATTTATGTTCCTTGTGAACATCATCGATTTCCGATTTGCTTAAAGTGTGTGTATATCTATTTACTGTTCCGTCAGCTACACAATCTAAACATAAAAAAAATTATAAATTAATGTATTTCCTTTGTAGATTTTTGAATGTTTACTTACTTGAAGAATTTTGCACAAAAAATGTATTCAGCCAAAAGTGACAAACTACCTTATTTGAGTTAGGAAGTGTTAGTTCAAACTTTAAATCGCCGGCAACTGCAAAAGATGGACTACTAGTCAATACAAATGATTTCTGAAAATCAATTTTCCAGGTTATCAGTTTCTGCAAGAAAAAAAAAACGAATGGAAAAATATATGCATTATTATAAGGGATTATTGGTACGTCCTTTTAAAAACAAAAAGCGATGTGAGCGATACTTACTTCTGGCTTAACACTTTCAGTAGCTGAGTCGGTTAATACATATACTGAACATTCAACCATTCCTAAATTTTGCAGAAAACTGGACTCTGAGAATCGTATTTCACAGATCTGAAAAGTACATGTACTCATTAGACATGTTCAACTGCTACAATCGAGCTAAAACTTACGTTAAGGCTTATTTTCGAATATGGAACACTTGAACAAACTAGTTTGGAAAAATACTGAACATATCGACGCTGAGATGGGATTGTCACACCTTTACGATCCTTTGTACGCTTCTCATCATACCACGCTAATGCCTCATCGGCGGACTTTTTCAAACCGCTATACAGTAAATATGCACAAATCATGGTTCCTGCGAGGAAGATCGATTACTAGGGCGAGGGGATTTGAGAATAAAGACATTTTCTTACCGGTTCTTCCTTTGCCCGCTTTGCAATGTACGGCCACAACATTAGCATCGTTTTCTTTTAGCCACAGGTCAACGTCCTTGCAAAATCGTTGTATCAACTCGATCGTTGGAGGGTTATGGTCCTCGAATGGATATATAACCACTCTCTGTAATCGTTATTATTGTGAGTATTTTGAGGTATGAGCAATGAGAGAGCAGCATGAATCTTACCCCGTGAAACTTGGAGATGTCGTAGTTGCGCTCTTGGCATAGATTGTATATCTTGTAATGTTGGCCATGATTCTCCTCCAGAAACTTGAATACATCTTCAAGACGGTTTCGGTATATTCCCTCTATTATATCGGGCGATGGATAACCCATGGCAATTATGCGTTCGTCAATGTCTTGAAATAGTTCAAAAAAAAAAAGTAGATAACATCCATAGGAGAGCAATACCCCGAAATATTCAACTTACAAGTAAGATCCAGGTTGTATCCCTTCTCCTTGTATCGTATACGTTTTTTGCTCACTACAGTGCGTATCACGTTCGACATTAACGAAATGGTGTTTGCCATAGTTTTGTAAGTTAAAAGACTTGATCAAACTGTTTTAGCTGCATCCATTCAAAAACCTATTTGGATATCCATTTACGACAACTATTTAATCCATTTCAAAGTTTGTGGCTCTGCAATGAAAAACGGATAAAGAAGGAAATATTAATACATTGCTTCTTTATTTGTACGGTGTTGCATGATCCTAAATAAAATTACAGATATTGTGTGTGTATTTTTTGCAAAATAAATGTTTGTTTCTGAAACAATAATGGGTTTAAGCTTCTTTAGTACAATTTTCATTTAGAAAATGACTTCGAAGTTCCTAAGGTCTTCAGGGTTTTGGTTTCGTGACAGTTAATGTGAGGGAAAACGTTAGCAAAACTCCGACAAGAAAACACCTGATTTCAGAAAGTCAACTGAATTAGAAAAAAAAAAAGCATACAATTTGGTGGTTATAAATAAATTACAGGTGCCGAGAATACCGATTTGCTTTTCGAGAGGTTCATTTGGCTTTACCTATGACGCTCAGACGACAACCCGGCCCAAGCATCCTCCTCAGTGATGCTCAGTAATGCTGCCTGAAAAACATGCCTTCACTTTCTTTGGCTCCTCAACAAGGACTTGTCGCTTAGTATCGCATTTAATTTAGGTATATGTACTTATAATTGCCACTCACACACGCTGACAAGTGAATGAACATACTTACATGTCTGGGGATTTTATCAATGATAAACTATGTAATCATTTTCCTCTTAACATAATACATTTATTGGCCGAATTATTATTGTTCAACTGGCCAATACTATTATATATGTATAAGTATATCGTTCTTATTGAAGTCAATGCACAATGCACGGAATTCGGTGAATTTAATTGGTGAGCCGATTAAACCGAACGGAACTGGGCTCGCTTTTAAACAATCCAAGTCCTTGTTAGAAAACACCGAATCAATCGAAATTACTTAACATAGCGACATGATTTTGGCAACAGCAACTGTGTTTTCCTTTTCGTTTTGTTTTATCTTGTAGTAGACACACACTTTTTGGACAAACTGTTTGCGAATGGTGGTATGTATTGTAGTTAGAGCACACAATGGGCATGTGCGCATATATGCACCGATTTTTCGTGCATTTATGTACATATTTGTTTAAATAAAAACATATTTACAGCAGAATCCACAGACATTTTACACATTTACACTATCAGCAGCACAGGCACCACACGAATATATGGGCCTACTCTTTAATACATATATGCTATGTATGTGTGGGTCTGTTTAAGTCAATAAGCTAAATGTATTTGGGCTCCAACCGAACGAGTTTCTGTTACTGCATCTTAAAAAGTTATCACATGTTATACATTAAGCCACGAAAATTCCAAATAAAAACTTTTAAATTATGCGTAAAACTTAAACAATAGCTCATGCTCTATTAAATGTATTTTAATTTATCAAGCGTGAGATCCACAATCTAGAGGTGACAATTGTTTTAGGGCTAGTAAGTAATTGTTATCGATAGTCAGTGTGACCCTCCAGTCTGTATCTGTGTATCTGAATCCGAAAAGTGACGTTATTTTAGCGCTTTAAAATCATCGTGTTTTAATTCACGTATTAAAAATTTACAGACAGCCTCCAGAAAAGGCACGAAATTTTTAGTTAAATGAGCGTAATTTTCAGCTTTTGCGGCTACTTGGAACACCAAAACGCAGAATCCCTGTCTGGCTTTGCTACCGTGAACAAAATCGACGTGCCAAAGGCATTTTCGATTTAATATCGATTCTCTTACTTTGTTTAAATTTTGTTGTACTACAAAAATTTGTTATAACAAAAATGTTTAAGTTTATTCTTGAACTTTTGCTTCGTTTTTAAATTAGATTGTAAACAAAATATTGTAGTTGTAAAGTCTCCTCTTATATGGATTTTGTTTTGGAATTCCAATATTTCAGATATTCGGTAATCATTTCTAAAGGAAAATTAGCATTTAATTTTAACTAACTCTTTTTTCATATCTGTATCTTATTTAAACTCTATATCCCAACAGATTATTTACCAATTGCCCATCTTTCACACACAAAAACTATGGCTTCTGGAATTGTGTGTGTGTTTCAGAATAGATTTAGTACCAGATAGATCAGAAAAAACAAACTTTTTGCCGTAACAACCAATTCCGTTTCTTTTATTCATTTCCCTTCTTAATATATCATTTTTGTATAAAAATGTATCTGCAGTCACTAAAATTGCTTGAATGGCTAGTTTACCCCTTAAACTAACTAATCGACATGTTCATAAGATGAATTTTGCTGGACTATTAGTTATATCTTAATTGCGATCCAATGAATCTCAATTTGGTCATCGCCAGTTAATACATAAAATAATATACAAACGTTAGTCTTTCCATTCAAGATAAAAGAATAATAATTCTCATTCTGGTCGTTGTCTGTATAATATCTTAACCAACAGTGATAATTGTGATATACCAACAATTATATAAATACAACAAAATTTTAAATTTTTAAATGATAAACTAAAACGCAGTCAATTCACAGCCTGATGAGAAATGAAAATATAGTTAAAGTCTGATTGGATACATCCTAGAGATTACCTTCCATTATATTAGCCTTGTCTTACCATGTTTACAAGTTATCGTCTTTTAAACATTGATGTGCTGATCGGCATGCGAACTCCCCCTGATTTACTTGCGATTCATACATTGGATGTTCACGCGAATAAAGGCAGATATTTGTGTATATCCTTTCAAATCCAGGATTTTCCTGCAGCAGACAAAAGATAGGACTAGATTGATCCATTTATCCGTGTCCATTTACATATATTCCACCTTCTCCTTCTCAAGGCCCGGGCAAGTGAGGCTTCACTTTTAAAAGCAGATCTTCGACTTTTTGTATACTTAAAAAAAAGCAAGTCTGTAAAATAAAAATTACCGATTAATTGCTTAGAGAAATCTTTTAAGTTTTTGACCAATTATTTGCGAAAGCTTGTGTACGTATACGAAAAACTTTGACGCATTTCCTTTATTAAAATTGCGTACTTGTAGAATTTGGTTTCGACGTATGTAGTTCGAGTCTTAACGTAGGCTTTTTCTTACTAAGTTCTCTACTTTAAATAACTTAAATTTTAGGTGCTTGCAATTGTCATTTTGATGGGCGTCATGAATACACACATTACCCGCAATTCGTTAAATAAATAATGAAGAAACGACGACTATCAGTTTTTTGTTTGATGGTTTTTGTTGATCGAAAACGATCAAATGCTACAATTTTAAATATTTCGAGGGGCTACGTTTTACGGTCGCACTTAAGTTATTATTTATTAATCTTTACTCATATGTAAGCCTTAAGCAACTATGAGTCGTGTTGTTGTTATTAGAATCGAGGATATATAGCTGGCGAACGGGAACGGAAGCGTCCAGCTCCTTGTCCGCCGGTACGGCCGTAGCTGGCGCTGCTGCCGCTGCTATAGCGGCTGCTGTCCCGTCCCCCCGCCGTACACCTCGCGGCGATTGAAGCTGCCGCTGCTACTACCGTCTCTGCCGTTGTAGCTGGAGCGTCCTGAGCTGTAGCTGCGCTCAGTATGTCGGCCGCCGGATCCGCTTGATCCGCGCTGTCTGAAGCCACCGCCGCCGCTGCTACTGCCGCCTGCCGCACTGTGCCGGCCGAAGTCGCCGCGTCGTCCGCGTTCCACGGAGCCGCCACCACGCCTTCCTTGACGCGGGCGGCCCTTGGATATCTCCACACGCAACTGGGAACCCAACAGTTCGGAGCCGTTTAGTATGTCGCATGCCTTCTCGGCATCGTCGCGGTGCTCAAACTCCACAAAGGCGAAGCCCGGGGGGTTGAATGCAATCCAAACTGAATTCAGCTTGCCGTATTTTGTGAACTCTCCCTCGAGATCGTCCTTTTTAACTTTGTCAGTCAGATTGCCCACGTACACTCTAGTCCCACGTTGATCACCCATACTGGACATTTTACTATGAATGTTATCCCTTTTTCAAGAGATACCTGCCTTGAAAAATAAATAATCAATAAGTTATCACCACCGGATAATTTAGCGTATGTATCTATATCAAGTTTTTCGACCAGGGTGGTTAAACTCGTTGCAAAAGTGCCAATATTTAAAAATATCTTTGCATTTGAAACAATGGAATCGGGGCGAAAGTGGCGTTATATTTATCGAGTTTGCAGTGTAGAGTAAAATAAACGACTGAATGGCAGAAAATTTTGAAGGTAAATTTATGTATGTGCAAAATATTAAAGGCGTTATAAACATTGAACTTAATTTTAATTTTGGATCACACATTTTCATGTATTTAGTTTAGCAACATCAGGGTTTCGCATCAACTAAGGTCCTAAATTCAACGTTTTACTTGTTCTAAAAAATGTATCATAAAATTATTGGGGATTTTTAATCAGTTTAAAATGAATTAATTAATTTCAAATTTTATGTTACAATAAATTTGGAGCACAAAATTATATTACAAAAAAATGTTAATGTTATTGTAATATAAAATTTGAAATTAATTAATTCATTTTAAACTGATTAAAAATCCGCATTACAAGAATATAAACTATGAGGAATGTGCTAACAATGAATGGATTTTATCGTTTCATTCCATTTGTTTCAATCGAAACAAACGCTTTTGCTGGTTTTGTATTTGTTTATTGTCATCTCTGGAGTATTTACGGAAGGACGCATAATAACAAAGAATAGTAAACATTTAAATTGGACATATATTCAAGAGTAGAAATGGCAGAAATGGAATGCCAAAGTATTAAAATGTCTATCAGCGAGGAAGCACAAACGGTAGTAAGATATTTTAAATCCATCCCAAGTTTTCCAATTGTAGTTTGTTTTAATGCGCAGTAAAGTTCGTACATAAGTATGTATGTATGTATGTGTGAGCATGTGTGTGAAAACAAACAAAAGGCGATTCTGAAGATACAAATTATGTTAGCATTATTAGAAAATTGTAATAAAAATAAAATATTTGTATTATTTATATTGTATTTTTTTTTAACATTTTTCATTTGACCTGTAGACCCGTAAGGAATGTGGAAAGAGAGGACGGAAACCTGGAAGAAAGACATCGACAGAAAAATTGGATATAAAAGCCAAACTGGGTATGATTTGAAACGCATTTTTTTTTTTTTTAATGTTAAATTAACCTTATGACATTTTGGATTTTTAGAACGCAGCCGACAAAGTGCTAGGGAATGCCGGGCACGGAAGAAGCTGCGCTACCAGTACCTTGAGGAATTAGTTGCGGATAGGGAGAAAGCCGTTGTTGCATTGCGTGCTGAACTGGAGCGCGTCGGTATACCTATCAATTAGATTGCTATAGTAAGCAATATTTATTTATTCTCTTTTTCAATTGCAGCTAATACAATGGAATAGACAATTGAATGAAAACGTCATACCAAATAACAATGACCAGTTGCTTCAGGATATCGGCATTCTTAAACAAGAATAGCATACATGTACTTTCCTTTTTCCCAAAATAAAAGTTAATTTGTTCTCTTATAATAATAAATATACTGATAAGTCTATTTATGTATATATGTGTACATGTGTTTAAATTTAATTTGTATGCTATATAAAAATTGTTAAAATAGCGTCGAAATTAATTTGGAAAGTATTTCTATGCTAGTTTATTTTCTTAGTTAACAAATTTAATAAAATTTTGAAAAGGGGTGTTGATAAAAATGGTACGAACTCTTGGACAAACGGCGAATTTTGCTTTTCCTACAGCAAGCGGAACGATGGAATGAGCAAGTCAAATAATCGATATATTTCGCCACTCACATCTCTGATTTCACGACTTATATACAGAACAAAATACGTAAACATTATTTATTGTGCCAAACTAAGTTAAATATATAAAACGTTGATACACATGCTTATGTGCCAGCTTTACATCTTGGTTACTTCAATTACGGAATCTATTAAGAGATAATATGGCTTTAAATGGGTTTTTAGAGTTCTTCCAAAAAGGCAAGGTAGTTTGGTCAAGCGAAAAATTCTACACCGGGTGGATTCGGTAACTAAACCCATTTATTTCGATCCTTTACTTAGACTTTCAGGCCGAAAAAACCGTTTGCATCGGGAACAATACGATATTCGCTGCACAAACAAGCCCAGGCCAGTTTGCAATCCGGGATTAATCTGCGTCAAGTGGTCCGGCTGCCCCAAGGCGAGAACTTGAACGACTGGCTAGCTGTGCACGGTGAGCATCAATTAAATGCATAAAATGTACAAGCATTAACACATTTTCAATATTATCGATCTAGTTGTGGACTTTTTCAATCGCATCAACCTTATTTATGGCACCGTCTCCGAGTTTTGTAACGAAAGTACCTGTCCCACAATGTCCGGGGGCTCGCGTTATGAGTATCTGTGGGCCGATGGAGATCTGTAAGTGTATAAAAACATTAACTTGGCTTAAATGGTTACCTATGATTATCTTTAAGCTATAAAAAGCCAACCGCCCTCTCAGCTCAGAAGTATATCGAGCATCTAATGGATTGGATTGAGTCACAGATTAACAACGAAGCAGTGTTTCCCGTCTCCACTGGTAATATTTCCGATCGGTTAATAAGACGTAGGAGCCAGACATTAATCGTTACTCCTTTCAGATGTTCCTTTCCCAAAGAATTTCGCCGCAATTAGTCGTAAGATTTTAACGCGACTTTTCCGTGTCTTCGTCCACGTCTACATCCACCACTTTGACAGGCTAGTGAGCATCGGGGCTGTACGTATAGCAAAGTAGTTAGTTTCATCACATATTTAAACATTTCCAAATATTTCTCTTAACAGGAAGCCCATGTAAATGCTTGCTATAAACATTTTTATTATTTCGTGCAAGAATTTGACATGATCTCTGCCAAGGAACTCGAGCCGCTGCAAGAAATGACATCCAGGATTTGCAAAGACAAGGACTCGGTTTAATACGTACTAGAATGTGATGTAAATATGTGAGGTTTATAAAAAATAAATTAGATTACATGGAATGCATTATGATACAAATCGAATTTACTTTACATTTTTAATACATTTTTTACCTAGCGCACTTTGGTCACACTCGTGTAAACACAAACGTTTATAGCATAAAATATTTTTGTTACTAATTTAGCAATCAAGATGGAAATGGTAGATCCAGATGCTCATTTGGTGGCCCTTAAAGGTAAATAAAGGGTAAACCCCACGAAAGCTTATATCCGCTTCTATTCCCCCGTATATTCCTTAGTTATGCGCCTGATGCGGCCCACTTTGGTGGGGCTTGGACCAGTGGTTACCTGCGAGCCCACTGACTTGGTCCAGCGTTTAGGTCATGCGCAGGAGCGACCAGATGCCAATGGTAAGCCCAAACAAAATAATTATCCATTAAACTTACACACATTGCCTTATCCAGTGGGTGACGGAATGGCCGGAGAAACACTGGCAGCTGGTCAAGTCCTGCTGCTCCCACAATCGTTTGGCAGCATTTATTTGGGTGAAACGTTTGCTAGCTACATTTGTGTGCACAACACCACCGCGAATCCGGTGGAGTGTGTGACCGTTAAGGCAGATCTCCAGTCGAACACTTCACGCATTAACCTATCCATGCACGAGCAGGCCAAGAGCCCTGTTGTATTGGCACCTGGCGGCACCATCGACGACGTTATCCGGTACGAAGTGAAGGAAATCGGCACGCACATGTAAGTTTAAGTGCGAATCTTTTTGAATTAATTTTGATTAAAGGTATACTTGAAGCCTTGTCTGCGAAGTGAATTACTCGACGCCCGCCGGCTATGCCCAGTCGCTGCGAAAGTTTTTCAAGTTTCAGGTCCTGAAGCCACTCGATGTGAAGACCAAGTTTTACAATGCCGAAATAGACGAAATATACTTGGAGGCTCAGATTCAAAACGTGACCACCAGCCCATTCTGTTTGGAAAAGGTGGAATTGGACGGTTCCGAGGACTATTCTGTGACTCCTCTAAATACCTTGCCCAATGGGGAGTCTGTGTTCACTGTGAAGCACATGCTGCAGCCCAACAATAGCTGCCAGTTTCTGTATTGCATTAAGGTAAGAAGATTTATTAAGGAGATTTATTGAGGCCATAACTTGCTTTCATTTCGAGCAGCCAAAGGCGGATATTGCCAAGGATATAGATACCTTGCGGCAGTTCAACAACGTTGGTAAACTCGACATTGTCTGGCGGTCGAATCTGGGCGAGAAGGGCCGGCTGCAAACCAGTCAGCTGCAGCGACTGGTAAGAACTTCAGTTAATTTTAAATAATCCGAACAGCAATACTATTGTTTTTAGCCATTTGAATGCAAAACACTTCGCCTGGAGATACTGGACGCGAAGAATACAGTTAAAATCGGCACTATATTCACCTTCAACTGTCGCGTGACGAACACATCGGAGCAGCCAATGAAGTTGAACGTACGCCTGGAAGCTAAATTTTCGCCCGATAGCCAATACACGGGATGCGCGGACTTTATGCTGAAACAACTTCAAAGTGGAGAAAGTGCCGAGTTCCCACTTTCCATTTGTCCGTCCAAGTTGGGTCTCGTGAAAGTGGCGCCCTTGATATTGACCAACACATTGCAAAGTGATCAGCAGTTTACCATTGATAATGTTGTCGACGTTTTTGTTGTAAACTCCGATTACAACAACGACCCCACAACGCATCAAAACAAGTTGATTCGCTATGAAAGCGCCACGAGCTGTCTAAACCAAAAGCAAGTGCAGTTGCAGGTGGTTTAAAATTGCCTGTTTGTAAAATGTATTTTTAAATGGAATTAAATATTTAACAGAATGTAAAAAATACCAGAAAACATCCGATGGTCTAAATAATAGTCTGGTATTTTATGCCAATCCTATTGTGGTCACTCTATTTCGCTGTTTAGATCAAAACACTAGAAATGTTACGAAATGTGTGCACCTTTTCCCCGCATTTCGCCAAATGCATTTTCCAAACAAATTACCAGCCCTTTCGCGGCATGGCGGGTCATTCAAAATGGGCCAATATCAAGCACACGAAGGCGTTGAAGGATGGAGCGAGAGCCGCTCTGTTTGCAAAGATTTCACGGCAAATTCGAATGGCCATTCAGGAGGGAAACTCGGCGGATCCGGCTATCAATTCCCTGCTGCGGACAGAAATAGATAGGGCGTTGAAACAAAACATGCCCAGTGGAACCATACAAAATACCTTGAACAAATTTAAAACCAGTAAGGTTCAGCTCAAGAAATACCGGATGGACATTCGGTACAAGCGATCTGTTTACTTGATTTGCATCCTGTATACGGACAACTTTTCTGGTGTTAAAATGGATGCCACGCCAATTATAAAGAAAGCCGGGTAAATAACTAACGTTTCCTAGTGTTGTATGTACATTTATTTTGTGATTATACTCTGTAGGGGAGAATTCATGGACGTTGGCAATTTGTTTGAGGACTTCGGCTTGATCCAGACTCGCCTTGATACGTCGAAGGTGCCTCAAGGCTCCAGCTTGGAAGATAAAGCAACTAACGATGCGATAGAGCTGGGAGCTGAGGAGATCGAAATAGACGATGAGGCCGAGGGCACAGTAAATGTAAATATTTCTTCAATATGAAACCTTGTTTATTGTCTATTTAATAACCACCTTTTCATGTCCAGTTCTTGTGCAGTCCTGTGGTTTTAAATAGTCTCAGTAAAAGCTTGGCCAACCTTGGATACGCCGTTGAAAATAGTGAACACATATTTTCTCCAATGGTAAGGTTAAACGCCTTTTAATTCAATAAACTCGCTAAAATATAGTTTTTGTTTCAGAAACTTGTGCAATTGTCAGCAGAAGACCAAAAATCCTATGACATATTTCTAGAAAAATTACGAAATATCCCAGGCTTGGAGGATATTTATGACAATGTGGAATAGTGTTAAAATGTAAATAAATTGAAATGCTGTTGAGATATTAATTGTATTGATTTTATTCTGTAAAAATTTACTTGGTGAATTTTAGAACTTTATCACTGAAATTTGAAAGCGTAAACAAACTTATTGCTGCCAGTGTGCGCTCGGCCAAACAGCAGATCGAAAATAAGTTATAAACATGTTGGTGTTCTATTTCCATTGTTTCAAATTCCAGAGAAATGGCTAGTAGAATCGAACCGGCCACCGCAGCAGTGTTGCCAACTCTTTAGGGCTTGAAAAAGCTAAACCCAACTTCGAAAAAAGCTAGAAATAGCCAGCAAATTTTGATGATAGCACATTCAAACACGTTCGTCGAACACATTCTCTCTCGGTTCGGTTGCAACGGAGCCGAAGGTGCTGCCGAAGGCTGCCGAAGTCTATGTTGTTCGCTCTCGAACACTCTACATTCTACACGAGAATTCGACCCCAAGCATGTAAAACTTTGTTTTGACATTTTACTTTGAAGTTCAGAGTGACCAAGGGGAAAATATCAAACAAAAATATGGCGATTTCGATATTTGGGCAAAAAGTATCGTTATATTTAGGTTTTGAAACACGCCAGATATAGTGGGAAAATAGCTAAATTGGCAACACTGTCGCTAGCCAGAGAGCCGCTCTCAATTTGGGAATTCCATAAGCAAATTCTGTTAACGCTCTCAATTTGGGAATTCCATAAGCAACTTCTGTTAAACTCTCATTTTAACAGAAAATTCTGTTAAACGCCCGCTCAACTTGGGAAGTCCATAAGCAAAGTCTGTTAACGAGCCAAATTCTGTAATCGAGAGCATTTCTATGTTAAGTAACAGTTTGCTTTGAAATTCAGAGTGACCAAGGAGAAAATACCGAAAAATATCAAACAAAAGTATCGATTTCGATATTTGGGCAAAAAATATCGTTATATTTAGGTTTTGAAACACGCCAGATATAGTGGGAATAGCTAAATTGGCAACATTTGATTATACAAACAAAAACAGGTGCTGCAGTCTCCAGATCTAAATTATGAATTATTTAAGGGTTATTCGCAATAATTGGAAAAAATGTACATTCGGAGCTTGTGTCTCTGTGTATGCCCTCCAGTCGTTAAAAACCCACATAGAGTATGCATTCAGAAAACATTGAAATGTCAAATAAAACTATAGCCATTAACCTCTTCTAGAATCGAACAATATATGAGAGAATTTTCGGCCAGAGCACAGACTAAGGGAGCTATATCGGAACGGCCAAAAAAGGTGCTGGTGGTCATGAATCCAGTGGCCAATAAAAAGAGATCTGAGAAATTTGTAAGTAGCCGCAAAATACCTGATTAACATTATTTGTTGATCCCATTTCGTTTCAGTTTAAAAACTACTGTGAGCCAGTTTTGCATTTAGCTGGATATTCGGTGGAAATACTGCGAACCAATCACATTGGTCATGCCAAGACCTACATCCAGGATATGTCGTCCCTGCCTGACGCCATTGTGGTGGCCGGAGGCGATGGAACCTCGTCGGAGGTGGTCACTGGACTGATGCGAAGGCGCGGCAAACTGTGTCCCATCACCGTTCTTCCCCTCGGACGCTCCGTTCAAGATGCATCCAAAAAGTTGCATATCTTTGGGGTGAAGGATGTGGAGTATGTCAAGTCGCTGTGCTCAGCCCTGGAGCCGATGCTGAGGGATGAGAGCAAGTACCAGAGCGTGATACGCTTCGATGTGATCAACGAGACGGACGAAGGCGAGCAGCTTTTAAAGCCGATATACGGCCTAAATGGGCTCTCTTGGGGCCTGCTAAAGGACATTGACACGGCCAAGGACAAGTATTGGTACTTTGGACCACTCCGTCACTATGCATCCGCCGCATTTCGATTCTTTGCTGACAACTGGAGTCTGAAGACTGACTATGTGTACACTCCTCCCTGTCCGGGCTGCATCGACTGCGCGGCTTCTGTTGAGCGCCAGGATGACGTCGCCCCGCCGGCGGGGCTTTTCACCAATATTATATTCAAGTACAAAAAGAGCACACCGGCGGAGACGCTGACACGGACTCTCGTTAAGAACGACAACTGCGGCAACCGGTTCGAGGGCAGCATCGAGGCGAATCAAATCAACATCAAGTGCACGCAGAACGAGGATAACTTTGCGGAGCTGGAGAGCCAGTTCATCAGTTCGCTGCAGCCGGGCTGGGATTACATCAGGCGAATTCCACAGGTGGTGGCGAGTAGCAGCATTCTGCCCACCTTGGTGGTGAACAGTCGGACTATTCAGCTGCTTCCCGCCGGGGAGATGGCAGACAAGTTTTACTCAATCGACGGGGAGGAGTACGACGCTAGACCAATTAAGGTATCTGTTGTTCCCAATGCTATTAAAGTGTTTGGTTAAGATTTTGAAATGCGTGTTTGTATATATTCATTGAATTTCGATTAAATGGCGCTAGACTAGCTAGTATAGCATGACACATTCACAGCAAAAGTTAACTGCTATCTCCTCCCAAATCCAGAGCTGCGTGTAATCATTCTTAAACTTCTCAGCGGTGATCAAAATCAATTTATCATTTATTCGTATGCATGAGCCAGTCTTGCGGCGCAGTACCTTTATTGTAAACGATTTTGGCTTGCAGTTGAAGTGATCATACCAACATTTTCTGGCAATACACTCCACCGAACGGATATAGCGCGGAAAGTAATTAAAGCCTAAATCGATCCAGTTGATCTTAGAGGAGCACTCCCAGGGCCGCTGCTTGAACCCATCGATCCGTGCATGTCCCACTCGGTCCATAAAGGCGCTTCTCGTTCGCACGCTCTTGCGATGAGAAGTGGTCGCCGCCTCACTGGCGAAGTGATTCGTCTCCCAGGCGGGAAAGCTACTGACCGATATCACCTCGCTGTCCGCATAGAAGGGCAATTCGTTCGACGATCGCTTGTAGCCGCCGGGTAACTGCTGGTGGTTCGCTTCGCCTGGCGGATCGATGCTCATGTAGCGGGGATTGAATGCCTGTCCCAGAATCCGGCTCAAGGACTGAGTTGAGAGCTCAGCACAGTAGTCGACATCGGCATCCTCCGGCGCGGACCCATTAGCAGCTAACCATATTGTGCAAACGATCAGCGAGAGCAGTTCCGAGTGAAATCTCATAGTTCTAAACAGCATTTGCAAACACATGCCTTCTTGCCAAAATCAGGGTTACGTTAATCGACAATCGATTGGCCACTTTACCGCCATCGGTAGGATCCGTTATTTGGCACCGAAAAACATATGTTTCCAAAAAGAATATGTCGTAAAATATACAATTTATTAAATCTGCATTATTAAAAATGATTTTTTCTTGTGGTATTACAACTATTGAGTGTACGCTAGTCCTTGGGTTCTATGTAAAGAGAACGAATCGTAGACGTGTTGAAGCTCAGACAGACGATACTCCTCAAGGCAGACAATGCCCTGCAGCGATGGCGACAGTTTAAGGGCACACGACAGGCAATGAACGACATGTCGCTTCTCCTGTTCCTTCACAAAAAGTACATTAAAAACTTCGACCTGTAAGAAGGAGAAAAACAGAAACGTGTTCAGGAAAATAATAATATTAATCATGGAGAAAATACATACTTCGCATTGACCGCAGTAATGGGAGGCCTCGTTCTTCCCACGCCCATTAAAGCGTATTTCAACTCCCTTCGATTTGACGTACTCCTGGATGTGCAAAACGTTCTTCAGCGTTTGCAGCAAACACATTCTGAAAGAAAAAACATTCAAACAGTTAATGCAAAAAATACATATCCTTCTTTACAAAGTTTAACTCACTTGATCAGTTCGAAGAGTTTCGTGTCCGATACTTTAATGTTTCTGGCCAGGTTCCAGCTTAAATGAACCATCGGAACAATGCTCTTGAAGGCCTGCACCTTGTTCCATTCATAACGCTCGATGGCCAGCGAATACTGTCGAGCAGTCAATGGTCCCACATTCCAGGCAATATTGTTGCACCAGCCCACCGATTGGACCCAATGAACGCACCTTGTGAAAGGAATAACAATTGAAAGTAAGATAAAAACAGCTTTGACATGCACTTACCCAGCATTAACCCAAACCAAGTCGCCAGGCTTTTGTATAAATCTATAAACTGGTATATTCTCCTTGTATAAATCCTCTAAAACCGGCCACCAAGAGCCGTGCAAATAGCTAATGTTGTTCTTTTCACATAAATTGTGAACGCCGCCCCAGTAGGCATCGGGCACGGCAAACCATTCGCAGTCCCCGGGCCCGATATTGATATTGATTGAGCAAAAGTTATTGTTCTCCTGGTGGCCGGGCGTCCTGCTGCCCGGCACCTTCATATACAGCTGGACAGTGTTCATGCCGAGAATGACATGGCCCACATGGGACAGCATATTGGCAGCGGAAATGACGCGTGCAAAAGCTGGCAGTTTTTGTAGCTCCGTTAATTGTGGCTTCCATTTGCGTTCGTCGGAGAGGTCAACGTTGGTTCCAAACCTAAGAGAATTTTATATCATTAAATTGTGATATATTAATCACTCTGAAAGGGTTGCTCATACCTCAACATCTTGCTGTTGATCTTGTTCTTTTTGCGCTTCAAAACAATGTTTGTTGAATTCGAAACCGAATCCTTGGAGTCCGAGTCCGACATGGCCTGTGAACCCTGGAATCCCTTATCACTTTCATCCTGTGGTAAAACAAGCTAATACAATGTAAAGTAGGTTGCTTTTTAACTCGTAATTAACACTACAGAAGAAGGGGGCATTGTTACCTTAAGGCTGTCCTGAAAACTGGAGGCCTGGTATTGGGCATATTTGGCTATTGTTGTGTGGGACCGATGCGATATGCAGGCCCACACCCTTTTCCCCTGCGACGTGTCCCAGTTTTCATCGGGCGATTGGTGAACCTGTGTCCGGACCTCGACACTGTGCTCGGGGTTGGCTTCCACCAGTGTTTTGGTCGAAAAGAGACCGAGATCAAGCTTGAGAGCGCCAGCCAGGCCGCGTACAACGGCAATGGGATGCTTCAGGCAAAACTCCTGCAACTGCGGACTGAACGCATTCTTCTTATTCTCTAAATGAACCGAGGGAGTCGGGGGCAGGAGCTGGTCCCTCGTCAGCTTCTGCGGTGGGCAATCGGGCGGAGAGGGCGGCGGCGCGTTCACTTGCAAAATGGTAAAATGTACGGGCGGTTCGTCGATCGGCAGAAGTTTCACCGAGGCCATCAGCTGTTTCGAGTCCATTTGGATTTTGAACGAGGTGGTGGTGAGATCCGAGCTGGCATCGCTGCCGCCACCATTGAATTCGTTATGTTTTGAGTCTTCGTTTAAATTATTGCTTATCGCATCTTGGCTCAAACGCTCCAGCTTTATAGTCTCATTTTGTTTATAAATATCATTCGAGATGTCATCAAAGGTGTCCACCACGCTCTGTTCAGAAATCTTTTTGCTTTCCCCCGGCATGGCAATCAAGTTGCGTTGGCTCAACGTCTCGGAAATGTCTGTAGGGATGAGAGAGGGAGAGAGCCCTGTAAGAAGCTTCTTAAAGTTGCGACTGATAAAGCATACTCATTAGATTCGGGTGCAGTTGCGTGGCTGTCTGATTATTGTGTTGTACTAATTCCTGCTGGCCATCTTCCTTAATACGTTTCGCAGGTATGGGGCTTTGGCTGAGTTGGCTGTGCGGGTAAGGTGGCGGTGGTCCCTTTTGAAGAATAAAACAAATTAAATTCATTTTGAATAGATTCATATTTTAGCTCTGTTAAAATAATAATACCTGTACTGGACTTTGTTTTGCCATCTGTCGCGGCAGCATCTGTGCTGTCTGCTGCTGGCGCGAGTTCATTTCTAAAGATATTGGCAGATTCCAGGCTTCTTCGATGGAACACAGTGTCCGGCGCTTCGATGTAATACTTGGCAGTGGTGCTTGACTGAGCTGAACCTCCAGAAACTTGATGCGCTGTGTCAGGCCCTTGGAGAGACCAATAGAGTCCTTTTTCATGCGTATTACTTGTTTGCGTCGAAATAATGATGATGTCTTCTAGGGGGGCACAAATACGTAAATATATACAAAATAATGCTGTCGATTTCCGCTTACTTGGAATGAAATCTGTTTGGTTGCATTCAAATAGCAGGCATAGGCATCGCGTAATTGACCACAGCTCTCATAAAGTATACCCAGATTCGTCCAGGCGGCCTTATGATCCTTATCTAATTGAACGGCACAAATATAAGCTTGCAGGGCGTCCGTCGGTTGGTTTTGTTGCTGATATAAAACGCTGTGAATGCAAAATTCTTCTGTGTTTTTTTTTTGGTACTTTTTGCTTAGGAAGCTGGTGATCTCTTACCCGATCGAACACCAGGTATCCGCATTTCCTTCACTCTTTTCCACCGAATTGCGGTACGCTAGAAAGGCATCGTGGACTTTATTGATTCCCGCGTAGCATCTCCCGAGTAAATATAATGATTGTCCACTCTTTGGATCGGCTTCGATGGATTTTTGAAGGAAATTCAAAGCGTACGTTTCACGTTCCTTTTTTTCGCCTAGGCATTCTACGCAATGGTACATCCATCCTGTGAGATTTAAGAAATAAACAAAATTAAGATCGTTTTTATTACATCTTCTAGTAAATTTAAATTCTAACTATTCATATAACGTCAGCTTAACAAAAATGTTTTGTCGTTAGAAACGTTACTTTTAGCTTCCTAAAGCAAATAAGCATCGTCGCCTTGCATCCGCTATGATTTCCCCTTCCTAAGCTTTAAATTCTCGTCTGATTAACAAAAACGGGGGTTGAAAATGCCATTTCTTTCTGCAGCATCTGCCTAAATGCACCACAAGGCTTGCCATTTGCATGTGTAGTACGTAAAAACGAAGGCTTTAAATTGAATAATAACTCACCTAACTGCCTATAAACATCTGCTTTTAATTCCAATGAGATATTTTTTTCCTTCAACAGGAATTCATAGCCATCCTTGGCCGCCTTGTGCTTGTTCTGGGTTTCATACAGATGCGCGATTTGAAATTTAACTGAATAGGATGAAAATGATGAAGTATTATTATCTTTGTTAAAATATTAATAGAACTTACCCTGAAGCTCGGAAAAAGTCGATGGATATGTGTAGAGCAGGGCCAATTGCAAATGTTTTAAGGCAATATGAAATTCGCCGCAATGTTTTAGCATAAGACCTAAACGCAGGTGGACTTCATTTGCACATGTAAAGTTGGGGCTCAAGTACAAAAGTTCTTGAAAAGATTTGATGGCCCTGAAAAGTAAGGGGGCAACAATATTTTTCTTAATCAATTCATTGTTTAAAAATAATTTCTATTTATATATAATTTATTTATATTTCGGAATTAAAAAAAAGATTTATTCGTGTGTATATACTTTTTGTAAAATCCCAAATCTTTGTAGGGACTCTATCGGCAGCACGAGTCAACGGTATTTACATTGGTACATCCACACATACATACATACGTGTGCATGCAGTCACGTACACACCGTTATATGTATGTATGTATGTAGCACTGTTGATTGAACTAGAATAATAAAGTTTAATGCTTAAAAGTAGAATTATATGTATTTTCAGTCAATACTACAGCGCCCAGTGCAGATTCGGCAATAGAACTTGCCATAAAAAGGGCAGACATGTCTGTATGCACTTTAAATGATACAGACATTTTTATTGCTAAACGAACAGAAGCAATTAATGTAGCTGCTTCTGTTGCATTGATTATTCTCAAAAATCATGTGGGACGGCGGGAAAATGTAACAATAATTAGACAACATAATGCGTTTAACCAAGAAGTTCACATAACGACCTCAAAGGGGGGCAATTTATTTATTTGTATGTACATACACGCACACATACATACATACAGACATGCATGTAACGAGAACGTCCATGTAAAAGTTGTATGAAAATTCTCACAAACAAAGGACACATTTTGTTGGCTACATATTGCACGTTCTATTGAGTTTTGCGGCACTACTTATTCTTTTTATAATTTATTCACTTTAGAACTTGTCAATTTTATATTTGTAATCTACAAATCATAATAGACAACAGAACAGCACTTAGCATAACTTGCACGTACTTGCACCTACTTTTTGTAAATAGAATATTCGTTAAATAGTCCAGTCTTAATTTTATTACGTTTACAAACAAATAACATTAATGGCAGTGTTGTTTTCACGTAGAATCTATTTGGTAAACAATTTCAGTGATAGTGTTGCCAGATGAAACTTTGGCTTTCCCCCTAAAATCGATATTTTTGATATTCGATATTTGTTATATTCGATATGTTTATTATACGCTCATTAACGAAAAGTCTGGCACCACTTTTCAGGTTTGTTTAGTATTTCTTGAAACTATTTTAATCAGAATTAAATATATTTAATTAACTCACCATTTAAAGCACCTAAGCTTGAAGTAGGCAACGCCTATTCCGTAAATAAATGGATGGTTTGTCCAGTAATTATTTTCTCGAAACCGTAAATATTTTTGGTAGGCCGACAAAGCTGTAAAATAAATAATTAGATAGTTTTAAAACAGGAGCAGGAGATACACTCCAATATAACTGCATTAGGAAATCCCTTGTGGCAGATATTGATTTATAGATAGATAGATTTATTTACCTTCCGTATATTCGCCGAGAAGAAGGTGCAGGTGACCCAGCTTGCATAGAGCATTTACGTAGTTCTCATCTTCAGATTTCTCGTCGCCGATTGTGACAAGAGCCTTCTCCTTGGCTTCCGTATCGATATGCTTTGTGTCGCCGTCGTCCTCTTGGTCTCGGGACGATGGGCGGCTTGATGCGTCGTAAATATTCTTAACTGCGTTGCTCTGGTGGCCATTGGCTATGTAGTCCTGCAGGTTGGTCACCGTTTGCTGCACCAGATTCCTTATTTCCGCATTCTTCTGATTGGACAAGTCCAGAAAACCATAGTACCGACTAGCCACACGCATAATGTATGTAAATATTATTAGTTCATTAGTTTGGTACAGGTAATTAATTCACTCACCTGTCTAACTCGCGGATCAGACAATCATCCTCAAAGGAAATCTGACCCATGTCTGTCGCGCTGCAATTGTAGAATTCTACCGGCGGAAGATTTGGTTAGAAAGCACTGCGTATTATTTAAAATCTCTTTTATTTATATTTTTGTTTTAGTTATGACAAAATCAGTGGGACCGCAGCACCGCCATAATACCAAATGCACCATTGCCTTAAGAAATAAGCATACTAAAAATATACCAGAAAATATAGTTTTTACATGGTTCAGAACTTTGGAAAAAGCCAGGTAAAATATTTTTGATATTAAAAAAACGAATTTATTATATGAAATCAGAAAATTGTACAAAATGTAATCAATATTATTTTTACTTTACAATAATACAGCAAAACCTTAATTGAATATCTCAACATTATTTTCAATGCAAACAATAAATTCTTAAATGTGATTTATTAAAATAAAAATATAATTATCCTCTCATTTTTTGTTGGTAAGATCGACGAATTGATTATTTTTAAGAAATCAAATTCACCAAGAAATGTGAATTAACAATAATCAAATTTATTAATAATATCCATGAAGAAATTCCATTGTCCATAAATAAGACCGCTGCATTTGTGTAATATCCAGCTTTAGTTTCACCATTTGGTTTAGCTGAAAAAATTGTAATATTAAAAACAATATTAAGAAAGAAAGCTAACTTTGGCCAGCCAAAGTTTGTATACCCTTGCAGGTAACAATTAAAATATATCATAACTAAGCCAAAAATGCATTAATTTCGATTCGGAAACCAGTTTTGTGTTAGTTTTTATTAATTTAAAAAAACTGCATACCAAATTTAAAATTTCAAGAAATCAAAATTTTTGGCCATTTTTGCTAATTTTAATGATGTAACCCCTTATCTAATTTCGCAAAAATGGCAAAAAAATCGATTTCTTTCGGACATTTCTAGAAAGATTCGCATGTTAATGCTGATCAAGAATATATATGGTTTATGGGGTCGGAAATGATTCCTTGACTTAGAAAAATATTATTTTGTATTATAAAATCGGATTTTTTATATTAAAAAACTTCTTGATTTTTTTTTAATTAAAAATATCATAACTCGGCCAAAAGAGCATTAAATTTAAATCGGAAATCTGTTCTGTGCAAGATTTTCTACAGTTAATAAATCTGCATACTTCATTTAAAAGTTTTGAAAATTCAATTTTTTATCAAAATCAAAAATTTTAATGATGTAACACCTTATAAAATTTTGCAAAAATGGCCAAAAAATCGATTTCTTTCTGACATATCTAGAAAGATTCCCCTATTGATGCTGATCAAGAATATATATAGTTTATGGGGTCGGAAACGTCTCCTTCACTGCGTTGCAAACTTCTGACTGAAATTATAATACCCTGCAAGAGTATAAAAATTAAGAATTAAGTAATGACTTACAAAGGTCTCCTCCGACTGTAAAGTATTCTGCCTCAGATTCACCAACTGTAAATAAAAATGTAATTTAATATATAAGTTTATTAACAGTGAAATTGAAGGAAATATAGGCAGTAAAGTTAGGAAGTCAAATTTATTTCTTAACAGTAAAGAAAAGGAGACTAATTTTTTAATATCATAACTAAGCAAAAAATTAATTAATAATTTTCTTTCTTAGTTTTTATTCAGTTAATAAATCTGCATAAGAAGTTAACAATGATTTGGTCTTACCCAGCTCTTCCACATTTTTATCAGATACTGTATCAGAGTCAACATATTCCTTAGCTGTCAAAGAAAACAATATAATAATTAAAAATAAAGTAAAATAAATAAAAACGATCAAGTTAAATAATAATATGGTAAATGTAAAATATAATTTAATAAAAATGGAAATTAAGAAGGTTCCTTGCCCTTACATAGATCTTCCGGGTTGGCGAAATTTTCTTCCTCTGGTTCGAGGTTTTCTGTGCCTTAAAAAAACAAAATAATAAATATTTCATATTAATTATAATACTATTTTGATTATATTTAGATGGCTTAAAAGCACATTTACTTTTAAATACTTTAATCACATATTTAAACTTTTTTTTTTATAATCTTTCTAGTCAAAACACTTCTTTGTAAAGAGTATCTTGAATTTCTCGGAACTTGTTTGTTTTCGCAATTTAAAGAATAATATTTACAATTTATTTACATACCCATTTCTGCGCTCTTTCTCTGGCGATAAGGTAAAGATACGCTATAGTTATTATTCTGCATGTCAGCGATCTCGGCATTTTGCAAAATAGCATATATCCAACTAATGTAAGGACTTATTTGGGTAACTTTGCTGGGAAACTGATATTCAACGTTATCCCTTGCCAGGGAAATTATTCCAACTAAATTACTTTCGTAAATTACACCGTAACCTGGATAAACATTTTCAGAAAGCTGTGGGAGACATTAATTATTTATATTTTGTAACATTTCAATATAAACTAGACTTACAGTTGATTCTACTTTATCCTGCAAAGGCGATTCCGTTGTTAAATCATAATCAGCCAAAAGAACCCACTCAATATCAATATCAATATCTGATAGGGGAAGTTGTGTACTCAAGGTGAGAATCGCAATATCATTATCCAGAGTTGTGACATTAAATCCAGGATATATGTCAATTCCGCCCACAAAGTAAATCAATTCGCTTAGATCTTGGCTTTTGAAAGACACGGCCAGTTCATCAGTTGTTATTACTCTTCCGGATTCATTGGAGGCCAATAAGCACGATGCCGCGGTTAAAACTATACGACTTTGGAGTACGTTTCCATAGCACTTTCCATCGACCAGAGCTCCAAGACGGTTCCTTCTTTGCAGTAGAACTTGGTAGGAAGGACGATGATAGTACTCAGTGTAAACGCACGGAAATAGGCACAAAATAATTAAGCTAAACGGAAGCATAATTTCTCCTGATCTTGATACGAGGAGAGTGAAACCTTGACTGTCACGTCACGGTGCCCTTACAAGATAGTAAACCCCAGATGCACAGAGCACAGATAAATCTTATCTTTAGCAGTAATTTATGCAAGTACAGTCGAAACCGCGTTCCAGGTCTTATTCGGGTATTGCTAAAAAGCCACACACGATTTTGCGTGTGAGAAGAACGTTGGTTAAACAAATTGGAATTTGAATGAGGAGAGATTGTCAAATTTTAATGGCTCTTTTCACAGGTTTTTACTGTCTTCTACAATGTGTGCTTTTGTATAAAGCATTTTCAGAGGGTGGCTCACTGCCAGCTTATCAGGGGATTTCTCAAACACATTTTAGGAGGGTAGATCACTGCAGATACATAGTAGAAAAACTCACAACTGCTAATTTGATAAAATAAAATTTGAACAACATTTTTTCTCTACTGAAAAATGGGCCAGAAGTAACCTATTTAATTTGGTTAAACATTTTATACTATTTACAGTAGCGCTTATAATGGTTCTTAACACACAACAGTAATATTTAAATAACAAAAGGCTCAAATTTTTATTAACTTGAATATCGAATACAATAAATTGTTTAATTTAAATGAAACCCCTTTTCCTTAGTTGCCGTTAACAAGCGCTCCTTCATTATCTCCTCGGTTGGGTAATCCGGAAGTTTCAGGTAGTGAACGCAGGTGTTCACCGACGGATAGCTACCAACGCCGGCATCCACCTTCCGGACAACTGTCAGTCTGGGATGTAGGTTAGCGAGTCCACCCGGAGGCAGACTACTGCAGCCGGTTGTGAATTGAAGAAAGGCTTTCCTTTCGTCGCCCGACATGCTCAACAGAACGTTAACAAAACGTTGGAAGCCAGGGCTGAAAAGAAACGTATTTAAATTTAAAAAAAAATTAAAAATAGATATTTACTAGAACTATTTAAACTTGATTAATAATTAAATAATAATTAATAAATTAAAATTAATAATTTCTTTTGCTCAAAACCGCTTTCCATGTTCTACAGATATAATAAAGTCCATTTAAAACATACCTGTCTTTGTTGTAGCCAAGTTTTGGTTCAGTATATGAAATAATATCTTCGCGGCTCCAATGGGGGAACTGTTCGCCACAAATCATCATTCGCGCCTCCGAGGGCGTGAAGGCGGCCAGCTTTTTCAGAGGGAACACCTCGTTGAACCCATCGCTAAATGCCTTCATCTGTTGCGCAATGCCATCTTGCAGGATGAAGTTCATTAGCAACTCGCAATATGCCTCCAAGTTGTTGATGGTGACATTCACCGAGGATCCATCCGGCAGCAAATCGGCCTGTTCATAACCGTAAACGGAGGAGCTGGGCGAATACGTGAACGTAAGTGCCAAGTCCTCCAGGGATACTTCCAGGCCATTTTGGGTGTGTAACTTTAGCTCGTCGATCAGTTCTTGCTTCCTTTCGGCGCTGAGAGTGTCGTCAAAATCAATTGCTTGCTTGCGCATTATGAGATTTTGCAACTCCTGCAGGAATTGATAACGAGTCGGATCGATTTCTTTCAAGTTCTCCAAGGACAGAATGCCCCCAAAGGCATTCGATTTATTGCCATCCGTTCGCAATAGCTTGGTGCACGTGTCCAGAATGTCAGATTCCTCTTCGGACACGACAGAGAGATCGCCGTTTCGTCGGTCCGAAATTACTTTGTGGAGATTACGCGACAGCACTTTGTTGTGGCAAAGCAATTGCAGAAATGATGTGGACAACGGTATGTCCACCAAACGCATGTCCTGCAGTACCTTGGCAACGAAAACCCCGAAGAACCAAAAGTATTTCAGGACCTTCTCACTTATCTCGGTGTTCTGAGGCAGCGGTGCTGGGAACAGGCCATGCTCCCTTCGGTTTACGTAGTACCCCACGGGCTTTGAACTTGCTTCAATGGCATCCGGGGGGATTTCCTTATCCTGACCCAACTCCTCGTCACAGAGCCACATGCAGAGATCGGAGCGTTGAATTTCTGCCGCAACAAGGGCATAAAACTCCAGTGTGGGCCCCAGGCCAGTTCCTTCCTCATCCAAAAACTCCACCTCCAGCACAGACTTCCTGTTGCTGTGCGTCTTCATAACCTGCATGGCCCACTTCAGCAGGTCCTCGTTGCGAGGAACTTTAACGCGCTCGTGCTTTAGGCGTCCAATGCGGAATTCGTGATCATCGCGGCGAGGACTCATTATAGGTATCCGCTGTCTTTCCACGGTGACATCCCGCTGAGATTGCAGGCAAACAATGCTCCTCGAGGCCCCAAATGATGTGCAGTTAAAGTACAGTTGCCTCGTCTCGAAGGGAAACAGGAACGGACACGATTGATTCAGGTTCTCGCACCAATTGGGCAAAGCGTTGCTGGAGAGTACCAATGGATCTTGGATTTGCTGTTGCAACTTGTTTGTGATCTTCTTGCTGATGAAAAGATCTTCGGATAGCGGTGGACCACCACCGTGTTCCATATCCGAATTCTCGATATCGTTCTGATTGAGGGCATTGATTTGGGTGAGCAACTCGAGAACGTCGTCTACGGAGCACATATGGTTATTGTCCGCTATATTAAAACCGAGATGCATTGGGGAGTTGGGCGACAAAGTGGATGCTCCACTTTTTGATGAGACATCCGGCGTTTGGGCAAGATCCTCCACGGTTTCCTGTGCCTCTGGCGACACCTCCCGGTATACAATGGTGTACGTGGGCTCCCATATCTTTCGGAACTTGTCCAGCTTGTTCAACTGACTGCATTGCAGTAACTCCTGCACGGCCCTAAAGATGGTCCAGTCCGTGTTGTTCAGATCGATTTCCACCTCGGGAATACCCCCGATTCCTGGACCCCGCAACTTCAAGCCAAGCAATGGCTGCTCAATTGTTTCATGGCCACTGGGCTGTGGCTTGGGCGACTCCTCAGCCCCGATGGGAGGCAGTTCCAGGTCCGAGGTCTGATTCACGTTTGTGCGGCCCGGTCGAGGGTCAAATGCTGGTATCAAAGCGGAGAATTGCCTCTTGAGAACGAACTCATCATCCCAGGACTTGCGCTTGGTGGTCACACCCACCAGCCTGTTCTCCAAAGCCTCGTCATCCATAAAGGTTAGCAGGTTGCGGGACACCATGACCTGAAGCAGCGTGTTGCCCACCTCCTCGTATTCGTCTTCGTTCTCCTCCTCATCGTTGTCCTCGTCCATGTCGTCCTCATCGTCCAGGTCGCCCAACAAGGCCGGTGCCCGACAGCTCTCCAAGAAGTCCTCGAGGGACACTTGCTCACTGTCGCTGGATGTGGAGGTCAGACTCATGGTTAGCGTGTGATTGATGGTGGAGGCGGACTGCTGTCCCGCCGAGGTATTCGTCGAGGGATGATTCGATGACGGAGCCGTGTTTATTGTGTTATTCGAAGATAAGCTGGGATAGCTCTGAGCGGTGCTCAGCAATCCCGAGTGGAAGTTACTGGACAATGCCAGCTTAACCAGGCTAGTCACCGAGTGTCCGAGGAAGGAGCCGGAGGCATTCTGATCGCCGCCATGCTCGCTTACATTCACCACATCCGCCGCATTCATTATCTGATTGTCCTGGATGTTGGTCGTTCCCTGGGAGGTGCGACGACGGGCAATCGCAGCGAAGGTCTCCAGCAAACCGGTGTGCATGGTGGCCACCTCTGAGGTCGTGGGTACTTCCGAAGCCGAGGTTGTGGTCAGGTTGGGCACACTGATGCTCATCATCTGGCTGGGAACGGGGACGCTTTCCGATGAAATCTGCGAATCTGCACTTGGTTGTTGTGGTGGTGGTGCTGCCGCTCCCGCTGCTGCTGCTGGCTTCAGTGAAACCACACTGCTGGGTTTCTTTGCATTCTTCTCCTCTGCCTTGATCAGGCCTTGTCCCTTTGGTTGCTTCTTCAAGCCTAGGTTGGCGCAGGAAGCTGGGAAGGTGTCTGTGGAGAGTATGTTGTTGGAGTTATTCCTGATCATATCCACTCCATCGCGCATCTTGTCAATCATTTCCAACGCCTCGGTGGAGAGCTGGGTGACTGTGTTGTTGGTGGTGCGCAGATTCACTAGCAGCTCCTTGGAGATCTTGTTCACCGAGTTGTTGGCATTCATCTTGTTGTTCTCCTCAATGTTGGAAATGTTTTTAATGTCACTCGATTCTCGGGGAGCGGGAGTCTGGATATCAGAAGGATCTCGGATCTCCGATGGTTTGCTGCACACATTCTCCTTGGACTCCAAGTCGGCCAGCGATAAGTTCTCAGAAATGGTGGCCAGGTCAGAGACAATGCCCGAGTTAATGGCCGGCATGGAGTTGTTGATGGCTGACAAATCCGAGATGTGCTCCAGGTCGCGACTCAAGGGCGAGGGCCCACTTATGTTATCCTTATGCATGGGACTTGTTCCGGACTCCTTGTGCTTCGGTCGAACCTCTCGGGAGGAGGCCGTTGCCAATTGGTTTGTGGATATAATCTGTGTTTTGGCGGAGGCAAAGACATTCTCTGCTATAGTCTCCACGACAACGGCCTGCTTCCAGGCCAGATTATCCGCTGAAACGGTTTGGTTGGATGCCCCCACCTCGGGATGATGGTTCTGATTCTTCTCCGTGGCCTCGGGCAGCGATGGCGTGGAGCTGGACTTGCGCGATGTAAGCGCCGTGGTGTTGGTCTTATCATTTACCTTCATGGTGCCCGTGGCCGACGACTGATTGCCCTCGAAGATGGACAGATACTCGCCATCGGCCAGCTTAAGATCGTACTTCCCCTCGGCACCCATGCGGTACGAGTTGCGCACGCCGTGATCCCACTTGACATCGATCCAGCCGTTGTGTATTTCGCCCGTAATTGTTCCCTCGCCGCCACAACCGTCCTGATCCTCCCATCGCCAGTCAACGCCCCGGATTACCCTCGCTCCAGTGGTCATGTGCTTTAATTGCGCTCGAATCTGCCGCCTCTCGCGCCTTATTTTCGCTTCTGCCTCCTTGACGCTCTTGCCAATGTCATCGGCAACGCCCACAAC